TTACCAAACATAGCTTTTCAGGAGTTTCATTTTGGATTTCATTGAGATGTTTCTATTTTTCAGGATTGGGCTCATTTTTTATTGAAACTAGCCTTAGCCATTGTAGTTCTCCGTTTTATTTCTGTGGAACATTTGGCACCAGACGTTATCATATATCCTAGATATTTAAACTGTTGGACTTGATTTTATCTTTTCATCTTTGCTAATGAGATTACAACTAGGATTTGCTGCTTTTTTGGATATTACCATGCATTCTGTTTTCTTTACATTCAACAATAATCCTTTACGTTGACTTTCTGTTACAACAGTATCTAGAAGCAATTGAATGTCCTTTTCGGTGCCTGATATTAAAACTGTGTCATCTGCATATCTGATGTTATTAATATTTTCTCCATTTACTTTGAGACCTGGACATTCTTCTATGTTTCTAAGGATTGTTTCGCTGTTCATGTTAAAGAGGTCTGGTGACATAACACATCCTTGCTTCACTCCTCGCCTAATCTGCTTTAACAATATGAGGAAAAACAGACATTATTCTCATTTTACATAGCTACATTATAAGAAAGACACCAATGATAAACGTCAAAGTTAATAGCCACAACATTATCCAAACAAAATCCAACTTGATATAGTTCTGGACCCCAATGTGCCCATGTCCTTCTTCGTAATTGTAAGCATAAGAAATTACTTTTGACGAAAATATAGCTAAAAATACTAGCACTAGAAACACCACTCGCACGGTCAAGACAAGATTTCTCTAATTCTTTACTTGCAGAACTTCCAAATAATTTTCATCGCCTCCAAATTGTTCTGAACCATACTGCCCGATTCATGGAGAAAGAAAGAAGACAATAGATACCATATGACCTCAATCACATTGGTTACCCACAGACAAACGCATTATTTACAAGATCTGTCTCTTGTGTTTTCCATCTCACAACGGGCTTGCAACAGCACTACATAGTTGCATTTATACGTATGCTCCAACGAAGCAACTACGATTAGTACAAGACAAAACTGTGTTAATTGAATCAACTAGCCATACGTTGTATGGCCAGGGCTCCTTCTTTCCTTTTGGTACCCAAGTCTGGAACATGTTATCATAGAACACCGGGGAAGACAAATCTATGAATACATTTCAGAAAAAGATAAAACACCATATTTTAGTTACACCGGCCTATCAAAAGAACAGCTATATTTTACTGCAACTGCTGAACGAGAGTGAAAAAGGTAGCGCGCGCGCGCGCGCGCGCGCGCGTGTGTGTGTGTGTGTGTGTGTGAGAGAGAGAGAGAGAGAGTGAGAGAGAGAGAGAGAGAGAAAGAGAGAGAGAGAGAGAGAGAGAGAGAGAGAGAGAGAGAGAGAGAAGGGACGGGTGGGGGGAGAAAGAGAAAGAGATACACAGACAGAGAGAGAAAGTCAGGAATAAAGAAAGAAAGTGAGAGAAAGAGGAAGAGAGGAATAGAGAGAGGAATAGAGTGAGTGAGAGAGAGGGAGATGGAGAGAAACAGAGAGAGAAAGAGAGAGAGAGAGAGAGAGAGAGAGAGAGAGAGAGAGAGAGAGAGAGAGAGAGAGAGAGAGAGAGAGAGAGAGAGAGGAAAGGGAGGGTGAGAGTCTGCTAGATCACTGTGATACCTTTGCACACTTCTAGTACCAGAATATAATTCTTAAAATGTTCTGCTTTTGTCAACTGATATTTATTTCACTGTAAATGTATCTTTTATTTTTTGGGATTGCTTACCGTATTTTATTTCGTCCATACTTCTAAAATTATTTACATAAATTGTGTTTATACATTTTTATTCCGTCTATATTTTTCAATTTTTACTTACATATACGTTAATAAACATATTATTTGTATCGTTTTATAATATGCATTTGTGCATACATGCTGTATGGATTTTTAAGCCATTGTAGTATTATAGACTTATGCTGTGGTCCACCCGACCCTTTTGACAGATATGTATTATGTATGTATATATATATATATATATATATATATATATATATATATATATATATATATATAAAATATATATATAATATATATAATATACATTATATAATGTAGTATATTTATGTATTTATGTATATATCTGACTCTCTGACTCTTTGCATTTTTTTCTTCGTCTGTCTCTCTTTCTCTGTCTCTATCTGCTTGTCTATCTTTTTGTTGGTGTGTCTGTTTCTTTCTCTGCCTGCTCTCTCTCTCTCTCTCTCTCTCTCTCTCTCTCTCTCTCTCTCTCTCTCTCTCTCTCTCTCTCTCATTCTCTCTCTCTCTCTCTCTCTCTCTCTCTCTCTTTTTTTTTCTATCTTCTTTCTATCTGTACCTCTCTATCAAACTTGCACTTCTCCAATTCCCCACATCTTTTTCTTGTCGCATTTAAAAGCAGGGTAAGAATAAAAATTGCCTTTCAAGTTCGACCTTAGATATCATTTTCCAGGTGGCCTAGAGGTTAAGGTGTTGGCCTCTCATTCAAAAATTGTCTCCTTTCACCTCCTTTCCTGCTCTCTAGCAATGTTCTGTTGTCTGCTTTCATTTCCACTTTCTGCCCCCACCCCCTCACCTCCTTTGCCCCCTCCTCTGGGCTCCTGACTCTTTCTGCCGCCTTTCTACTGCTACTCCTTGGCTCCTCCTTACTGCTGTCTTTCTGCCAAACCCCTGATCTTCTGGTTTGAAAGATCTACACCTAGCCTTCTTGGACAAGGGCGAAAAATCTCAGAGGGCCCGTGTGCAAGTAGCGCACGTTAAAGATCCCTTGGTGGTCTAAAATCGATAAGAGTAGGCTTCGGCCGCCACTCAGGCAAAGTTCTAAATTTCCTTCAAACTGAAAATATTAGGTGTGTCCCGCGCGCTCATATGACCTTATGCAGTTGCGAGCGCCGTAAAACACTTTACAAAAACAAACAGATTTTCCAGGTCCTCGTAAATAGAGCTCTTAGTGTGTGAGTGTCTTATCTCTCGCGTGTTCCCCAATTAAAGAGACATAACAACCCCAACTCTTACTGTGCTTACAGAGGCATTCGAAGTCGAACATATCAACTATTGACAGTTTGCCCAAATATAGAACTACAAAGGTCTACCTGCTCACTTCCTAGTTTTGAGGAATTTGACATTAAACATTTCTGATTTTCGTGTGTCAAGCTTTTTTCAAAAGCAGTTCTTTGAATATTTTGATAACAACTACGAATAATCTTACGATTTTAATAAAGCAGATATAAAATTAATCGGTTTCTGACCAAATGGTCACAGTCACTCAAAAGAACAGTGTAATTCTTAGGCATCGCAATGTCAAGTACCTGTATTATGTGTGACCGCGTGCGTTTTTTTATGTGTTGATGTATATAATTTGTCTGTGTGAGTGTGTGCGTGTGTGTGTATGTATGTGTGTGTGTGTGCGTGTGTGTGTGTGTGTGTGTGTGTGTGTGTGTGTGTGTGTGTGTGTGTGTGGGAGGGGGAGGGGTTGCCTCCTCACATGAATAAAAAGAAAAAGACAAAAACACAAATAAAGAAGGAAAGTCAAACAAATCTTTCAGTTAGACTGAACAAGGGACTACAGAACGTGTGTTTTATTTGATCATAATATTGTCAGATTCTTTTCCTTATCAGCATCGAGCACTAAAAAAAGTTCAGCCATCTTTCAAATACCCACTACACTGTTTTTAGATTTATGTTTTTAAAAAGCTTGTAAGCCAGGGTAAAATGTACCTCGTCGCTGTCGCAAACAATTCAAATTTCACGATGCTTAGATTTTTTTAGTCTCCCAAATCTCTACCATAGAACAACATCACCAAAATGCAGTTTAATACTATGGTCAAGGCTTACAATTTTCCTTTTTCTCATGATTTCTGATAGGAACAACACAACAAAAACAAATTTTGGTCTCTGGTTTTAATAGTACTCAAACAGACTTGAGTGGATTGTTAGGACATAGACGAACTACATTATAGTGCGGTCAAAGATACATGGCGCAACTTATTGTCAAATATCTCCAACTATAAAAAAAATAGGCTCTCAAACTTTTACACAATGACTTGTACCAGTTTGTCTTAATAGATCAACATTTTCGTAAAGAGCTGTTAGCTGTATTCTAGAACATTTCTTAAAAAGCACTAATTTTTAAAAAAATTGAATGGTTTCTACTGATTTTGAAATGTTTACATTCCATGAGCTGGGACAGTATCGCTTTTAAAATCAAGTCTGTCCTTTGTTCTAATCAGGACACTACGCTTCTTGAACGCATGTTTTCCGAACCTTTAGTGCAAAAAAAAGTTCACGTTAAATCATTTCTTTTAAATACAAGTTTTTCCATAAAAGAGTGTCACTGTTTAGCTGTGACGTAGGTCAATATGGGTATTCAAAAATCTGTGTGAGAGAAGTGGGTGTTTTGGTAAGTGTTTTACGGTACTCTCTACTGTATATTGTCATATGAACGCGAAGGACAAATTAAGATTTTTTGGTAGGAATTAGTTTTGAATTTAGCCCGGGTGGCGGCCGTAGCCTACTCTTATTGATTTTAGAACCACTAAGGGTTCTTCAGCGTGCTAACTTTCACACGGGACCTCCGAGAATCTTTCCCCTTTATCCGAGAAGGCTTGGTGTTACATCTTACATACCAGGGATATGGCTGAAAGACAGCATTAAGAAGGAGCCCAGAACAGGGGAGAGGGAGGCGGGAAAGAAAGAGGAGAGGAAAGCAGATGATATAACAGAATTAGAGAGCAGGAAAAGAGAATTTTTTCAGAAGTACTTTTTCCGTCGCAGTCAGGTTTCCAAACCGAGGGACCTATTGAATGAGAGGCGAACACCGTACCTCTAGACCACGAGAGCCCCAAAGATTTAAAATCTAGCCTCATTTATCGTAGAAAAAAAATCAGGTTGCACCAAATTGACAGAAACTGTTGTGCAAAGTATGGAGGACATTGATTCACCCGTTAAAACTATATTTGGGGATAAGTTGCGCCAAGACAATTCTTGGCCGCACTATAATCAGCAACTTACAGTTCTTAGAATTGAAGACTAGATGAACTTTCCGAAGGGATCAAAAACCTCCTCATCCGTCCTCGAACTTTCACAACTCTGTCTAAGGGGGAGATCCTTTTGTCACTCTTGTCCTTATATACTGCTTTTGAGTGGAAGGGACAATCTTGATGTTATCATCCAAGTACATGTAACCTTCGCTTGGAATCTACTTTCTTGTTGCATTGGTCCAAACTGACCTCTCAGCTGTCTTATCTGTAGCGCGTTGGCAACCTGGGGGGAAATTTCCGAGGTTGTTAAGCTCTATGGAGTCAGTTTGCATGTATCAGCTTTCTCTCTGTCTCTCACTCCTCTCTCTCTCTCTCTCTCTCTCTCTCTCTCTCTCTCTCTCT